ATTTCGATTATAATATGATAATTCTTGAAAATTTCAATTACCATGCGATAATCGTTTTAAGTTTCGATTATAATGCAGGTGTTACTTAAATTTTAATTATCATGCGGTAATTGTTTTAAGTTTTGATTATCATGCGATATTATTTTAAGTTTCGAATATAATGCAGGTTGTAGATTATAATGCGAATATTAATACAAATTTTATTTCACCGCAATATCTATATTAATTGTTTCATTTATATATATAAATTGTTCATTGACATTGATAAAAAACATCAATTTCAAATTTTCAAGATGACAAGAAATAAGTCTATTTCAAATATTATTGGTAATAAGCTGACAAAATGACCACCTCTACCATCTGAGTCAACTCGAAAAAAAAAAGTTAACAAAGTTTCTTGCTATTGTAATAAGTGTAATAGAAAATTAGTTTTAAATCGGACCAAATTTTTCATGAATTGGCAAGTGGTTCATCAATGATTCGTGGTGGTTCAAGTAGCTCATCATCGATTCGTGATAGTTCTGCCATCGAACAATTATATCTAAATTTTGACGAATTGATACTCAATACTGGATCACCTGCTGAAATCAAATCACAAGATTCGAGGAGCGAAATGATTGATGATAATTCACGAGTTTTAAGAAATGAAATGACTGATCGTTATCTGAAATTACCAAATTTACCTCGAAAGTGTATAAGTAGGTATAAAATCATCCGCAAGTTACTAAAAATTTGAGTGACTCTAAGGATGAGCAACTTACCGAGTCTTCTTTAAGCGAGAATAGTGAACATAAAAAAGATAACATATCGAATCTCCTATAAGTGAAGACGAAAGTGTTTCTGATGATTTACTTGTTTCTGAAACTTTTGAAGATTATTTTCTGCTGAAATATGAACCATATCAAGATGAAGAAGAGGAAGTAACGATCGATAATTAATTTGCATAGATTTTATTATGGATAATGAACTTTCGAATTAGGTTCAACATACCAGAGACTGCAACTAAATCTCTTATAAAATTTATGAAATTAGTTCTAACTGAAATTGGTTGTGATAAGTTTAACAGATTTCCAAGTACTCTTTATTTAGCAAAGAAAATGCTTGGCCTCAAAGACTGATTTTATAGTTTCGTACCTTGTACGAAATGTCATAAACTTTACAACAGAGATGAAGTAATGAACTTTCGATAGAATGATACTTTATCGATTATGACATGCAATCACGTCAAATTTCCAAATTAATCAATTCACAGGTTACGGCTTTATAATACACCATTGTCTCGTAAAATAGATAATTCAAATTTTTTCAACCAAAATTAATTCATCCATTTGCCAGCATTTGAAAACAACTCAGTGTTATATTTCGTCGACAAGGGTTCGAAAATTATCTACATCATTAGGCCAATAGAACAAGTTTCGGTAACATATTGGCTAACATATATGATAGATAAGTTTGGAAGACATTTAAAGAAAATGGTTCAGAAATCTCACCGAAATTTTTCTGACCTGATGTAGCTGATTCACATTTGGGATTAATGATGAATTTGGATTGGTTTCAACCCTTTGACGGAACAATCCATAGTACTGGTGTATTATATGCCGCAATTTGTAATCTTCCAAGAGACATTCGATTCAAGCGTGAAAATTTACTAATTTTTGGAGTTTTGCCTGACCTGAATGAAGTAAGTTTACACAAGATAAACCATTATTTAGCACCAATTATTAACGAATTAGAGTTACTTTGGAATGGTGTGACTCTAAATCGAACATATAAATGTCAAGAAGAAAGGAGAATTTGTGCAGCATTAATCCTTGTTTCGTGCGATATTTCCACAGCAAGAAAAATTTGCAGTCATGTTTCGGCATTGGTGTCATATCATAGGTGTGAAAAGAAGGCAAATTATGAAAATCAGCAACATAATTTTGCTGGAATAATTAACATGAACAAATAGTTTACTCTCCAGGATTTATCACAATATCGAAAAGATGCACTTGGCTGGCGAAGGTGTAATTTGGACACTGATAGAAAGCGATTTGTAAAGAATACTAGCGTTAGATGGTCTGAATTACTTCAGTTATCATACTTTGACCCAATTCGATTTTTAATGGTCAACCCAATGCATTGTCTATTTTTAGGTATAGTGAAATGGATAATTAAACGAATTTGGATTGATGAGAAAGTTTTATCTTCAGATGCTCTTAAAAGTATTCAAAAAAATATGAATCAAATTTAAGTTTCAGCAGATTTGGGTAGAATCCCTCGAAAAATCGACTGTGGAGAATGTTTTTTCAACTTCACAGCAAACTAATGGTGAACATTTTATACAATTTATGCAACTACATTGCTTTGGAAACATCTATCAAATATCGGCTGAATGATTCTAACACATTTTGTTAGAGTTTGTTCGATTCTGGTAAGTCAAATTCTAAAACTCAATTTGATACAAGAAGCTCACAAAAGGTTAATTAAAATAGTAAAACTTATTGAGAAGCATTACAGGCATGATAAAATAACACTGAATCTTCACCTTTCGCTTCATTTACGAGAATGCTTATATGATTTCAGCCCTTTATACACTTTCTGGTGTTTCTTATTTGAATATATGAATGGAATACTCGGTAATTATAGCTTCTTTTTCTTTTTGCTGATTTATATAACGAAATGTGCTAGTAAATAACGAAATATATTAATAATATTTAGGTTCGTTACCAAGTAGCCATAGACAAATTGAGCCAGTAATAATGTGCAGATTAATGAATGATAATCGTATTAGAGAAATCAGTAGTTCGGTAAATATTTGAACAAAAGGTTTAGATTTGCTTGATATTCATCAGATGAAATAGAGCAATTTTGGTCTAATTCGAGAAACATACAGGAATCAATCATTACTGGACATGAACCATTTTCTGGAGAAATGCTAAGTCCTAAATTCGATGTGATATTATTCAAGACAATGCTTAATTTAATGGTTAAATACTACACAGCAACATATGAAACATACAATTTCAAGGCATCATTCGATGATAGACCTAAAGATTCGATCATACTTAGTCATATTACAATAAATAAATTCGATCGGTGTAAGAGGTGTTTAGCTCAGCAATGTCATCTCGTCATGTGAAAAGTTCGTTTATTTTAGTGAATTTTATAATATTAGATAATCAGATTAACTGTTATGCTGGTCAAGTCCAGTATTTTTTTAAACATATAATTGATTTTGAGGATAGACCAGCAGAACATAATTTGGCATTTATTCAGTGGTATAAGCTGGCAAAAACATATAAAGTTTAATATTATTTTAGTATTGATAATGATGAAAAAACTTGTAAAGTTGAACTATGGAAAAATGAATTTTTTCCTGATGGTTGTAATAGTATTATTCTGATACAACACATTCTTTGTTGATTTATACCAGCAAAATATAAAATTTCTACTTGTTCAAATGCCGTTGAATGTATAGCTATAAATCTGATAAATCGTAAATTCCATATTCGTTAACTTTTATTTTGTAATATAAATTTTTTATAATAAACCAAAACTGGACTGATATAATGCTGAATTAGATACAATGTAACAAATGACAGTCAATTTGTTATAATTTTCATGTCATATAACTGAAATTTTACCATATCATCTGAATATTTTTCGAAAGGTCTTAAAAATGCTAAATTATGTATGGTGTAATAAACGACAGTAGATTTGTTATAATTTTTGTACTGAATTTTAAACACAAGCTCAATTTTTGTCAAATAGTACGGTGTGTGACAGCATAAGACATCCACTTTTTATTTAAACAGCCAAATTTTATTTACTTATATAATGTATCATATGACTATAATAAATCACATGAATTTACATTTAAACCAATCAGAATCGAATACTTAATCAATATTTGTCAAGATCGAATTAGGTATTGCTCTATATGACTTGAATTTTTTTACAGCATACTCAGCTTGTTTAGCTTTAAACCTTTTCTATAACAATCCATATATTGTGCAGACTTTCTAGCATATATTCTAATATAACTAATAGAAACTGAATCTAATGCAAGTGGAATAATTCTTTGCAATCCTGTCCAACTATAATTACATTGCTGATGAGCATATCATTTCGCTGCATCCCAATACATTTCTATATAATTAAGTTCATAATGAAATTTTGGATAAAAAATAACTTTATGACTTCTTACTTCAATAATTTCTTGAATTAAAGGTTTAGTATTAAGAAAATCAGGTTGATTTGAAAGAATATGTCTTGCATAACATTGAGAATTAATATTATATTCATTATTATTACAGTATGCTTTCAATCCTATTGATGGCTATAAACCTCTTTCTTCTAAAATAATTCTCATTCCTTTTGATTTTCCACATAAATCTTTGTCATGATAATTATCCAGAAAATTCATATATTGAATTTGTCCATTAAAGATCGTATCACGTAATTTAGCTTGTTTCCCATTTGAATTCATGTTCATGTGATTTGCATTTAATGTATTGTCAGCAAATTTTCCATGACTTGAAGAATTATCAAAGGCAAATATGGCAATTGTACCTAGATGTGTTTTTTCAAAAATAGGTATAGCCCGATTTTCTATCTAAATAATTATTAATATTAAAATTAATAATTACTTACTATATTATAATATCATATTTTTTATTTATATATTTACCTGTTCAATCAATTTATCTACATTCTACCATCCATCAAAATTTTTACCTGGATTAATCATTACACGTGCTTCATAATACATGAAATCTCTAATTTCTTTTATTTGATCATCATTTAATTTTAATCTTCCAATAGTGTCTGTTAAAAAATCGTTAATATAAATTGAACGTCTTTGACCTTTTTTACGTAAAGGTTGTTCTCCATTTGACATCCACCCAGATTTTAATCCATCATTTGATTGAAATGTAGTTTCATCATGAGTTACAAGTATATATAACTTTTCATTATCATTTAAAATTGGATCAATTCGTTTTTCAAGATCATCACCTTCAAATGTTGGCATTAGATTTTGATATCTAAATAAAATTATAATATTATATAAATTTAAATTAATTAATTAAATTTATTTAAATTCATTATTTTTAGATAAACTTACATGCTAATTTTTTTAAGAAATTGTTTTTGATATTCAACTACATCTGGTCTTTCATGTCCGTCTACATACATTCCTTTTTAGTATCTATCATAAATAAACCCCATTTTTTTCAACCATCTATTTGCTGTTCGAGTACTTAATATAAAATTACTAAAATTATTATTATTATTAAATATTATTTAAAAATATAAAAGTAAATATTTAATTTTTTATCTTATTGTTGCTTTTGTTTTAATTCCAAGTGATGGTAATTTATCTGATGATATATAATCACAAAAATTCTGAATTGTTACATTATGTTTTACATTTTGTAAATATGATGAAACTTTAAGCTAAACATCTTCATCTTCAAGTAAACTTTTTCCTGGATATTTACCATGTCCAATTTGTGGAATATTATTACATAATACATATGATTTAGCCCAAGTCTGAACACATTTTGAAAATCATTCTCCACGATTTAGTAATGTGCAATAATTCTAGCAGATTTCAATTTATGATGACCAGATTTTTGTAATTGAAAAAAAGTATTGAACTGCTTTAAATCGAACCCTTTGACCTGGTGTTATTTTTTTGTCAATTTTAAATTTATTTTCGATCTTCATAATATATTCATCAAGTAATTGATTGTTTGATTCATCATTCCTTACTCTTTCATCATCATTTTCTTCTTTTCCTTCATTATCATTCCTTGCTTCTTCATCATCATTCCTTTCTTTTCCTTCATCATAATTTCCTTCTTCTCTTTTACTATCATTTATTTCATCTCTTTTATTATTATTTTTCTTTTCATCATCAATTTTTTCTTTATTTATTGTGAAAAACTTATCTATTGTTTAACCATTAGCCTTGATAGCTTCATGTATAAATTTCTTCTTTCTTCTTTTAGTTCTGACAGAATTTCCATGATATGTAAGTGGTCGCTTAGATGGTATAAAAATTTTCATATTATCAACTAGAGTTTGAAATAAACTTTCTTTTTTATCAAAATATCCATCTTTCCATTCGAATCCCATATCTAAATCTTCATTATCAGAAGAATTATATTCTTCATTATTATCTTTATTTTCAAAAAACTAAAAAAAAAAATTATTATATAAAAAATTTTTTTTTATTTATTTAGCATACCTTTCGCTGTTTTGAAATTTTTGCTATTTTTCGCAAATATAAAACCCTTTTTTTTACTTTTGACATTTTTAACGAATCAGATTTATATATATTAAGATATTTTATATAAAATTTACTATATTACACAAATGTAATTCTGGCTGAAATTCTATAATTCAGGTTAAAATTATAGGGCTAAATTGGAATCTGATCTAATAAAGTTTTATATTTTAAAAGTTTATAACTTTGGATGTGATAATTCGATTTTAATTATCTTAACGTGATTGAATAGAGTTCACTAAGAAGTATTAATTAATGTTAATTTTTTTAAAAAATAATCTCTCAATATTTTTTTATTAATATTTAAGGATCATCGATTTTATTGGATGTCTTATGGTATCACCCACTATATGACCAAATCGGCTGAATATTACCAAAAGGTCATAGTGCTGAAATAATGCTAAATTACACATAATGTAACAAATAACTATCGATTTTTGTAACTTAAGCCAAATTTTTGCCAAATCACATGACCGAATTGGATGAATGTCAACTGAAAGGTATTAGTGCTGAAAGAAATGATTTTGACTAGTGCATATCTTTCAACAGAATTAAAGATAGATACCATAATTAAGAAGTTACAACTCAGTAAGTTACAACTTCTTGTAAATTTATTTTAATATAAAATTCGTAAATAGTTGCAACTCAAAGTGTTGCAACTTAAGTTGCAACTAGTTAAAAATTTTAAAAATAATTATTGGAATCATCTTTAAACAGAATAATATAACTTACAATATTTGTTTATCATTTTAATCTTTCTTTAACATTTTTAAACCTAGTATGAGTTTATACTAAACTTAGTTAAATAGGTATCATACCTAAATAGACTGCTAAATCAATAAATCCTGAAATAGTATTATTGTTTGAAACTAAAATTTTATAGTTTAAACTTACTGAAACTAATTTAATTAAGTGTTAAAATGAGTTTAGTTAATAGACAAAACTATCAAAATTATTATTACTTTACTTAACTGAAACTAATTTTTAGTAGTTTAAAATAATAACTAAAGATGGTTCTCATAATTATTTTTAAATTTGATTTGAATTGCAACCTAATTACAATATTAATAAATTTAATTGTAACACAATCGCAATATTTTTTGGTAATTATAGTGCTATCTTTAATAATAATCTTATCCTGTAGTAAATCACATGATATCCAATCATTATTTATATTTATCATAACTATTAGAAAGAAAATCAAGAACAACATAAAATGATAACCTATATTATAATTGCTTTACCTATACATCAAAAATCGAACTCAAACCTTTAACCCTTATTGTGATATAGTATTATAATAATTAAAAATAGTATAATATCAACTATCTATAACATAAGACCATTCTTTAATCTAAGTTATACAGTATCTACTATTGATCTATCAAATATATATTATCAGAAATAGACTCCCTTACAGATAATGTGATACTTATTTATTACAAACCAATTCTTAATATAAGTTTCAACTCAATTGATTCATTATGTATCAAATTACTTATCACTATTACCTATAAACAGGATAATATGAAGATGAAATGACCTTACACAGTTATACTATATAAGCTACCATCACTCATGTAAATAATTATTAAATGATCATTATATTTTATATGTTCATGATTTTTAATATATATAGTTTGTAAGTATCCTATAAAATATATTTACTGAATCAAATTGATAAATCCTATAAGTTAATTTATTATAATCTGCCTTAGCAAAAAGCTGAATTAGGATCTATTACAGTATAATCTATAATAGAATTCAGTTATTATCAATTAAGACAAGACAGTTAGATTTCTCCTATATAATAATGTGTCTAACAATATTTATATATATATATGTATAAGCTGAGTCAACTTGTCAAAGCTTAGCTTAAGTCATAATAAAATAGCTTACGAATTAGTAAAGCTAGCTTATAGAATCATCAGCTTAGATTTTTCAAAATATTTCAATTAAAGAAAATGTATCATAAATAATATATTTCAATTAAATCAAATTTAGAAGAAAAATACTTTCAAAGCATTTTCTTTAAAGAAAAATGCTTAGTATGTTAGTCTCAAAGAAAGATATTACTATAATATTATTTTCAAAAAAATGCTACTAAAGTGTTAACTTTAAAAAAATGCTACCAGTGCATTAATTTTGAAGAAAAATGCTAACAAAATGTATTCTTTCAAGTAAAATACTATAGGTATATAATCTTTAAATCTAATACTTTAGAAGCATTTTTCTTTGAAATTAATGTACTAATAGCATTTTTTTAAAATTAATGTACTAGTAATATTTTACTTCAAATTTAAAGTCTTTAAAAGTAATTTTTCTTTGAAGTTTATGTATTAATAATGTTTTCTTTAAATTTTAATATATTGATAGTATTTTCTTCAAAAAAAATACTTTAGAAGTATTTTTTCTTTTAATTTTACATTCTAAAAGTATATTATTTAAAGATAATGCTTTAATAGCATTTTTCTTTGAGATAAAAATTTCAGAAGTATTTTTTCTTTAGAAAAAAAATATTTTAAAAATGTTTTTCTTTAAGAGAATTGTTTCAGAAATTTTTCTTTTAAAGAAAATCATTTTAAAGATATTTTTTCTTGAGAAAAATATTTCAAAAGCCATTATCTTAAAGGAAAATTCTTCTCAGAATATATCTAATTTTTTCAAAATATTTTTTCAGATTTTATTAATAATATGAACCAAATGAGCTAGCTTATTTAGCTCATAAGCTGACTCATTTTATTACATTTTTGACTTAAGCTAAGCTGAATCTAAACCAAAATAAATTAGTTTAGCTCAAGCCAATTATTAAGCTAACTTAAGCTGACTTATGCAGAACTTTAATATATAACATAGAGCAATTTTGTAGATTAATTATTTGTTGATTTACTAATCTAATTTTAATAAATTTTAGCTTATTAAAATTGACATAATAAGTCAAATCGGAATACAGTATTGGTTTTTTAGTAGTTAATCTACTGAAAAAAATTTCTAAACTTAAATATTATTAAATTAAAAGATTTGATATAGATCACTAACTTGTGTAAAATTGGTTTTAATAATTGTACTTCAAATATTTACTAAATATTCTCTAGATTTTGAGGTTTAAAATAAATACAAAATCATGTTTTTAGCTTTTATGATTGACAAGTTATAAGCTTTTGCTTACTATTGTATTATAAACAGATTTATAAAGTGATTTACATATAATTGATCTACAGGGTTGATTTATTGGATAATTTACAAATTGATTTATATATATGACATTAAAAATATTTACATTATTAATATAGTTAATATAGTTAATATATTTAATATTTAATCTATTTTAAATGGTTTATTTATTTAATATAGTTAATTTATTATTATATGTATTTCAAAATATATAAATATAGTAGCTTAGAATTTATAGTAAAAAGTAGAATTCAACAACTGTATGAAATTAACAATTCTCAAAAAAACTCTTAAGTAGCTATATACATCTCTCTTTGTGAATTTACCTTTTTCTTATTTCATTTCATTTCATTTATTTTTTTATTTTTTATTTCTTCTTTCTTGTATTATTATTAATAAACTCTTTCTATCTTTACTCTTATATCTTAGTGAGTTTATGTGATATATCAATCTTTATGAATTATAAATCTTAGCAATCTCTGTAAATCTTAGTGATAATATACAAGTTTTATAAATCTTTATGATAAAACTATAAATCTTAGTAATATACTGTAAACGGATCTACAAAGTGATCTGTAAAATCGATCTACAAAAGGGATTTGTAGAATTAATGATTTGCAAGATTGATCTACAAATAGATCTACATGTATTACGTAACATTCTTAACATTGTTGATATAGTTGACATTAATGACATTATGGACATTGTTGACATTATTGACATTAATAATATTATCAACATTGTTAACATAATTAGTATAATAGATATAACTTGTTTATTTTATATATTTTATTTATTGTTATATGAAATTGAAAAGATATAAATACAGTAGATTTTAGAACTTGTAGAAAGGTAGAATTCAACTCAGCTGTGTGCAATAATTCTCTTAGAAATATCTGAATAGCTGTGTGCTCTTTTATCTTTGTGAAAACCCCTTTTCTTTTCTTTTCTTTTCTTTATCTTATTTTCTTTATATTTCTTTATTTCTTACTTTTCTCTTTATCAATAAACTATATTATTATTTATCTTATACATTTATATGATATTTTATATTATTATTTAAGTGACATTATATATCTTTGTAATCTTATAAATCTGAGTGATTGTATAAACCTTTGTAAATTAAAGTGACAGTTAAGTCTTTATGACAACTACAGCTATTTTGAATCTTAGTAAACATAAAAGTCTTAGTGAATTACAGTTTAAAAACATCCAAGTAATACCAGTTATAAGTCCAAAACTTTAGAATAGATCAGTAATTATTATGTACATTAAAAAAAAATAACACTCAAACACCTCGTTTAACTGTAGCGATCTACTAAAATTGCACATTAACAATACAGTCTTTGTAAGTCTTAGTGATAACTTATCAGCTTTGTGAATTTTCGAAAAAAATATATAAGTTTTTGTAAAACTCGCAAACTTATTATGTAAATCAAAAAAATCATCACTCAAACATCCTATATAATTGTAATAATTCATTAAAATTGCATATAAATCATTTGAAAAAAGTCTTTCAAATGAGTTCAAAATTACATGATTTGGATAATTGGAAGATAAAATATTGTATTAAAAATATATAAAGATACTGAATTGTTCAATTTTTAGTATTTTTTTAGTATCAAGACTAAAGTTGCTTGCTTTTCTAAACTTATTTTGGATTTGGCTAAATGTCTAAACCTTTAGTTTTGCTAAATTTTTACTAAGTATTTGATATAGAATTGCTATTTTTATAAGCTTTAATATAGTTTTATTTTTTTTCAAATTTTGCAGATTTTTTAATATAATTTACTGTAGAGTACAGATAATAGTACCCTGGATATTTTACAAATTTTATCAAAATTTACATAATA